AAGTCAAGAGATGTGCCCCCATCTCTTGTTTGTATGTTGGTTTCGTCCGACAGAAATAAGCCCCAAAACTATTCTCCTGGAAAATCCGTCTCCAAAATTTCATTTGATAAATACGCATGCTTTCCCAGTCACCTCGAGATTTTTGTACATTTCGAACCGCCCGTAATTGATGTTGACGAGAGTCAGTTGTCCTTTCGGAATGTATCAATCTTGGAACCGTCGGACACTATGTGGTGCTTAGGCCTTGCGAGAGCGAGTGGTGGCACCGTTCGACTTGGAACCGTTCGGCTTGGCACCAGTGGTCTTGCCATTGGCCTTTCCGCTGACAGCCTCGGCGACGTGCAGAGGGTCGGGAAGAGGAGCCTGGCTCATGCGGCGCAGAGACGCACGGGTAGTCTTGGTGGGGTTCTTCTTGTAAGTCGCGAGATAGAAGGAGATGAACAGGACCAAGTAGGAGCTGAGAATTGCGATTCCAGCAAAAGCGGCGAACTCCTCACCAGCGCACCTGCCGGCATTGGGCATCCAGGGGAAGTAGGTGGACGAGAAGTAGGTGTACGAGGCGAAGTAAACAAAGCCTATTAGAATAGGTTAGTCTTGGGCCTGGTTGACCAATAATTGGGTGTTCGTGGGAATTCTTACCAAGATCAATGATGAACTGGATGATCTGGAAGCGGGTAACCCACTCCTTCCACCAGATACGGATACCACGGGCGCTCTGGAAGTAGTACCAGTACATGACAACGTGAACCCCAAGGTTGAGAGTGATGGGAACCCAAGAGACAGCAGTCGACCCGATGAGCTGGGTGTAGCAGAGAAGAGCGGTAGCGCCATGGTGGTAGCAGTGGAGGAAGGCTGTTATAATCGAACTCGTTAGATCTCAAGTCACGAAGCAAATGTGCTGGGAAGGAGAACATACTGAGAGGCTTCTTCTTAAGGAAGAGGAAGACAGTGTCGAGCAGCTCAAGATACTTGGTCAGGTAGGTAAGCTGGAAACGCAAGGTTAGTAACCGGACAGCGGATTTTTGGTTGGATCATTCGGGAGAGGAAACCTACATAGTACAGGACAACAAGGTGCTGGGTCCAGCCACCATCGTGGTGGCAGATGGCGTGGAAGATGCCTCCGCGAACAACGGTGGGAAGAAGTTCCTCGAAGTAGAGAGCAAGAAGACCGGCGCTGACGGCCGTAAGCACAAAATTGTGAATTAAAAAGAGAGTCTTGAGTTTAAAGGGCTCGCGGTTGCGCATGGCCTCTCGGCCGCCGAAGATGATGGCATAGTAGACGACGATGAAGATGGAGGTCGACTTGAGAGTGGACATGGGTGTCTCGAAAGGCACAAACTTGAACTCATCAGCCGAGTAGCCCAGGAGAGGCGTCCAGCAGAACTTGTCGAAGAGGGACCACAGGTGGATGCCAAATGGGCGATCGAGGGTCGGCAGAGGAATCTGCTCAAAGAGCGTCGGGGAAGTCGACATGATGGGCGAGACAATCGGGTTCGATTCTTGTCAGACAGGTTACGATGGTGTATGTACCGAGGGATCTGAACACGATTGCAACAGAATCGCGCGCCGAGGGCTTGCAGACAACGTGTACAACTGAGGTTGTAAGAAACAAAGAAGCGGGATTGAAGGAATGACTAGAAGAGAAGCGAACGCAAGACGGGGCCCCGCGGGTTGACTTGCGCCGGAACCTTTTTGTGTTAGGAAAGAAAAGTTAAAGAGAAGGTTGTGGCAAGAAGAGGGAAAGAAAGTATAAGGGCAAGAGACAGATTGCCGTCAAAAAGGGGAAATTTCGCACGCCCAGCAAAACCGCGGTCTTGCCGCGACGGACGGACTCCACGAGCTCATTTTGAGGTACAGGATACTTTCCAGAAGTGCCCCGCTAGGCTGGAACTGGCCTAGCAGCGTGCCCCCTAGTGTGGCCATGATTAGAGTCGGAGGGCACATAGACCCGGCGAACCTTTCATCATGCAGATGCTAGGCATTGACGTATACGCCCGATGCATTTCATGTGACGGCCTGCGGGAGCGGCGGACTCTAGTCAGATCATGGGGTGCAATTGCTGCAGGTTAATTGAAAGCGAGGAACCGAAGCAACCGATCCTCCGCACCTGGTGGCCTAGATGGCGGGCAGTGTAAGTCAGACTGCGCCATGTCCGCTGCGGGATAGCGTCACTGCTCAGGGGACAAGTACTGGATACACGGAGCGAGAAATCGATCGCTGGGTGATGATTTGCCTGCAAAAGGGGGCCTTGGCAAGGCCCGACCGAGTCTCCCGACCAGTGGGCGTACGTAAGGTAGGCGGTCATTTAGCATGTGATGTGCTGGACAACAATAAACAGCGTTGTATTGGTCCAACCCGCCGGGCAACCCAGAAGCCATCCCCTACCTGGAGTGCTCTGTGATCGGGTCCCGCCGAGACAAAACGTGACCTTTGCCCAGATTCTAATTATTAATGTCAGTCCCTTGCTCGTCTGCCAATTGACCTGCTCTTGTGCAGCAGGAGTAATTGCCCGTTCATGCCTGGTGCCTCGGCAGCCTTATTAAGGCTTTCGGGGGTAGTTGACTCTCCTACTCCGATCTTGTTCAAGGGTCGCAAAGTCTATCCGCGCCAACAGCTGTGCGATGTCATGTTAAGACTGTAGCACCTATAGGAGATGCAATACAACAACAGCCCTCAGGGGTTGGAAACGTGGGCATTTTGGGTGCTACCCATTGACGGTGAAATGTAGCGTCGCTGCCACTAGCGATCGTCTCCAGATCTTGGTAATGGTGATTGCCTATTTATCAATTGGTACCATCTCTTCATCATGATATTGTATTGTTCCCATATCGCTAGCCTGCTTTTATACTTTCGTTCGAAGCAAAAAGTATACCACCAGTCATGTCACGAGGCTTTGGGATTTTTGACAGGGTTCGCGCCTCGTCACGAACTTGTCGTATTCGAAACTGCGAGCGAAGCGGACGTATCGTCAAATACTATGTGCCACAACATCGAATTGAGCCTATCACTATATTCGTGACTTATAGGTGTCAGGCATTGATCAGGTGCGGGATGCGTTGCGTGGGTGGTCGCTGACCCTGGAGAGCACCCGGTCTAAACCGATCCCTCCCAGCGGCTCTCAAATACCTGTCCACGCCTCAGTCGGCCAGCCTGCAAAGGGAAAGAAATATTTCCCCCATAGGACCCAGGCGTTCCCCTTCGAGGCAGACTCGTGATAGATCGGCAACCCAATTGACCACAAATGGGTGCTGCAGCCATGGCCTGACTGGAATGCCTCCTCACAGCGCTTCCTTCTACGGTTGCTCCCGACAGCCCGTGAGGACGAATTGGAGCACCCCTAAATGAAAGCTCCCCATAAAGGTCAGCATGACGGAACAGGCTGCCCAGTCATGGTGGGGGCAGCCACACCGTGCTGGAGGCGCCCAAAAACCACCAGAGACCTGTCGGAACCGCACTGTCCCCGCCAATCACAGCTGCGAATTCCCGATTAGTCACGCTGCAGCCCTGCAAAAGTGACCCATTCCGCTCGCTGCAATCGAACCATCTGCTACCACATCATCCGGAATCCAACGAAGAGCGAAAAAAATACCCAACCGCTAGTTTCGCTCATAACACACTCCCTCCGGAACCAACTCCACCCCTCGCCACTCAATTCCTCCCCTCGACATCAACCACAAAACATAACCGCCCGTCATGCAGTCCGCCGTCCTCCTCCGTGCTGCTGCTCGCAGCGCCTCCATGACCGTCGCCCGCGCCAGCGTCGCCGCCCGCCCTGCTCCTCTCGTGGCCCGCTCCGCCGTCATGAGCTTCAGCACCACCGTCCCTCGCCGATCCGGCCACGAGGAGACCTTCGAGGAGTTCACTGCCAGGTGAGCAGCCGCATCTGGGATCCGTTTTGTCGAGGGCAATTGGGGCAGCACGCCATGTCGGATTTCACTGGGACGAATTGGTCGAGCAATGAATCGTCGCTGGATTTTTTTGGGAGTGGCGTGAAACCACTCAACGGCTCAACCACGCGATGTCGCCCGACCGACCCAATTGCCCTCGCCGGCGCCCAACAACGCAATGCATCGCACTCAATTGCTAATTCCAATGCTCGTGCAGGTTCGAGAAGGAGTTCGACAGCGTCCAGGATGTTTTCGAGTTGCAGGTATGTTGTGGAATAACGCAACCTTCTCAATCTCGGCTATTGTTTGCATCCGGCTGATCGCTTCCCACTTTAGCGCAACCTCAACAACGCCTTCGCCTACGATCTCGTCCCCTCACCCGCCGTCGTCGCCGCAGCCCTCAAGGCCGCCAGAAGGGTGAACGACTTCGCTACCGCTGTCCGAATTTTTGAGGGTACGTTGCTGCCAGTCCCGCCATATGGGCCCACTGCTCTACCGGGTCCACGGACGGACGGACGGGAAAGAGGGAGGACATATGAATCAAGGGAAATGTGGCATGTCACCCTGGAACAGACCGCTAACTCGAGACAACTCTTTAGGCATCAAGTCCAAGGTCGAGAACAAGGGCCAGTACGAGCAGTACCTCGAGGACCTCAAGCCCCTGCGAGAGGAGCTCGGTATCCCGCTGAAGGAGGATCTGTACCCCGAGTCACAGTAAAGAGAAAAGGGCTACAAAGCAGTTGTCGTTCCTATCGGGACTACTGTAATTTTTATATTTAGAGGAGTGGGAAAGCTGAGCGCGTGGTACGATGCGAGATGCCGGCTGAGGCGGTTGTTCAATTTCATACTGTTATATTAGCTTGCATTTCCATCATCATTCTCCGTCTGACTTGTGCCCCCCCCATCCTTGTGTCAAATTTACAATCAATTCGGGTATATCGATCCTCAGTTTTCTATAAACTCAGGGTTAAAGCTCACACCACAACCTCCCTCATCTACCGTATCCCACCCTGCCCTGCGAATTAATCTATGTATATGCAGCAGGAAACTATCGTGTTTGGCAATGATGTGCCTATGAACAAGAACAAATCGAGAAATTACATGTCGGGTTGGTTAGTCGCGAAGGTGAGAGAACCGTCCATTGCCAGACTGCACTCCTGGGGCATTATCATATGCAGGCACTGGGCTTCCAGCTCTACTCGATGCTCCAAATGCCGCCCGCCCAGGGCGCGGGCTCATCATGCCCATACGTGGACTTCGCGGAACGCTGACCTGTCGGGTCTCGCGTCGTCCGTTTTTCAACTGGCGTAGTTCTTCACGCGCGCGGTCCAACTCCATCTCTCTATCTTTAAGACGGGTTTGAAGGTCAGATATCTGGCGTAAATACTCTCGAGCCGCGTTGTTATTGTTGATCTCATGAATACTTCTCAGATTGTCCGAAGCTTTCTTCTTTAAATCTTCACTGACCTCCTTCAGTGTCTGGTTTTCCGCTCTCAGGGCGGACGTCGAGGCCGTTGCATCCTGGTAGAGTTGTCGAACATATTCTTCATTCTTATGCGAAGTTTCTAGGCGTTTCTCCAGAACCTGCACCTTGGCATTGGTCTCCTGAAACAGCTTCTCGTTCTCTCCTGCAGGTGACTCCTTCATGAGACGGGCAACAGTTTCCTCCAGCTGTGCTATCTTCTGTCGATTTTTATCATCTGTTGCTTGAGAAGCTTCTTTATTCGCTTGTAGCGCAGCCTCTGCCTTGTGGGCATCAGTCTCGAATTTGGTGCGGTCTTGAAGAGCCGCCCGGTGAGACTCGTAAGCCCTATCGTTGGTTCTTTGAAACTCCTTGACTTGCTTCTCGAGTCCAAATATGATGTCTTTATATTGTGGCTCGCGGTTGTTCATCTCCACAACACGGCCAGCCTCAGCCACCTACTGGAGTTAGTCAAATGAAGATGATAATAAGAGTAGTGCTACCTAACCTTCTCAGCAATCTTCTCCATCACATGTAACGATATTGTGATTTGGTCGTCAGCGGTGGTCCTGCCAGCGGCAGTGAACTCCACGCTTTCAAGCAAGTCCCTGACTTGATCGCTCAGAGGTGGAATATCGAATACAGCACGCGAGGGGCCGCTTGTTGAGTTTATTCTTTGTCTTTTGGTGTCAGGGTCATCGTCGTCGTCCTATATTGTTATTAGTCAGAAGAACGAAAACCAATGCAGAATTTCTGTCTCACAAGCCTGTGTTTGCGACCATTGTCTTGGTCCAAATACCCCTCCAAGGACATTTGCCCCATTTCTTGGGAGTTAGTGAATGCGTCGAGTGCATGTGGGGGAATGGTAACTGGTTCCCAAAGAATGGTCTGCGTATCATCATTTAGAAAGTCGGAAAATATCGCGGCGACCTTATGAGGCTCCATAAGCCGCGGAGGATCTCTGAAGGTATCTCTGATTTGGACAATAGCATATAAGAGAGCGTTCCGCCGCTCTAGATTGCCATCAGTATCTGAAATTTCTAGTGACAGATGCTCGATTGAGTAGGCTGTTGCCAGCTTGAGAACCAAGGGCTTGGCTTTGCCTCGATTATCCCATGCGAGCGCCTGCGCGATGGGCGAATCCTGGAAGGAGTTATCATAGCCCAGAACCACATCGTACTCGAAAGCGTCGATAGTACTTTCGGATGGGACAAGAGTCAGTCGCACAGACGAATCCTTGAACTCGGGTTTAGACTTGTATTCGAGAGCATCGCAGGTACATTCTAATTCCAGATATTCTGCAAGATCACAGAGCATGCGGAGAATATTAGGTGAGCGCGCGACAATGAGTGCCTGGGTATCTGTCTTGGTACGAAGAAAAAGCTCGTAGATAAAGTTCAGCTTTGAATTCGCATCTAATGAGTATTTGACTTTGTCTTCTGCAGGCAGGTCCTTCAACAAGGGACTAATAATGTCCTGGGGGTAGTCGCAAATGTTTTGAAGGTCGCTAAATAACGTATCAATCTTTTCAACCAGATACTTGTCCGGTTCGGTAAAAGTGTCCTGTGTGAACTTGGAGCCAAATTCGGTGATGTCTTTTCTGGATTTGAGTAGGACCTCATCATATAAGGAACGGATGCTTGATTGGAAGGGGATTGTGACGACGTAGTTAATCTGAAGCGCGTTTTGAGCCACCGCTGGCGATGAAGATGAAGATCGCTCGGCATCGGTTTGCGGGAGCTGTGCCATCGATATGGAATTGCTGGAACTCACGCCTGGAAGGGAACCAAAAGCTTCGTTCCCCGCTATAGGGATGACCGGAAGTACAATTTTCTCAGCCTCTGTCGGTCTGCTGATATCAGCAGGGGAAACAGTGACAGGCTCGACATTCTGAGCTTGAGGGGGCATAAGAGCCATGGTAATGGGCTCAGAGCCACCATATGCTTGATTGATGATGTCGCGCATCGAATCTGTGGCTGATCGTTGTGGTATCTCTGTTGAAGAGGCTAGCTCTCCCCCGAGATGAGGAAGCTCAGCCGTCGCTGATGTCCACGGAGGAGCTTGGGTGAGGAACTCCGGCGAGGCACCTGGGTTCGATAAGTCGCCATGGGCCTCTGATGCTCCGCTCGAAGACAATCCCAGCGATAGCGATGGGCCAGCTTCTGCCATTGACACTGCCTGCTGGGGTTCTGCGACCACTTCATCATCAGAGTCCCAAAGGTTCTGTAGCTCAGTGATCGCCGAAACCTCGTGATTGTCCGAGGACGTGGAGGCTGTGGGAAACATCTCTGTGGATGAAAAAAGGTGATTTTCCTTACCCCAGGAGTCTAGTATTTCTTGCACAATATCGCTTGCAGATTGGCGCAAAGAGCCACCCGGAGGAGATCGGTGTTCCCGAGGTATAGTTTGGTCTGAGACGCTGTTGGTTGGCGTGCCACTTTGTCCAATGGACCTGGACCCACTTTTTGAGGAACGTGCTGAGGCGTCCAGGGATCCAGAGACTGTATGATGATGATCAGAAGATGGCTGGTCTGGATGAGGGTTTCCAGGGCCTTTCTCGGCTGTGTTTCCCTGAGCTGACTTTGTCTGCTGTGACTCAACAAAACCGTCCTGCTTGTTCTTAAGCCGACAACCTTCCGAATCACCCAATGGAATGCACTCTGGTTCGGTGGAACCAGGGGGCTCCTGTGATTCCTTCTGAAAGGTATGTTCTCGTTGAATCTCGATACGCCCCCGACTGTTGATTTCTGAGACGCCTTGCTCTACGAAGGGACCACAATTGTAATTTTCAGGGCTTCCTCTACTCGGGTCCGATTCCGCAAGCCTTTCGCCGGTAAATATAACGGAAGGGCTTGCAGATAGAAGCCGCTGAGATCCGTTCTCTTTACCGCCTGGCGAGATGCTATCAAATGAGGCTTCTCCCGCCTGTAGTGGTGATACCCCTGCCTCGAGCAGTGGCTCCGGTACCTCGGATCGAACCTCTTTTGGTTCAAGTGGTGACTGGTACGCCTCAGATGGTTCCGTTCCCTCCAAGTGTGGCTCTAGGGCCTCAGTGGCGTCTTCTGATGCCTGTGGTAGGGATTTTTGTGCTGCCTTGGGTTGAACTTCTTCCACTCGTTGCGCTGACTGGGGAGTCTTTGACGGCTCTGATCTTTGAAGAGAAGACTCTTTGGCGCTAGAGGTTACTTTTGTTACCTCGCCTAGCGGATACGGGGTTACAATAGATCTCCCTCCCTTAGAGCCTTTATCTAGCGGTTTTGGAGATGGCTTTGGCGACTCAAAAGACTCTACTAGAGGAGATTGTTTTTTCCCTTTTAGGAACGCCCGCGATGCGTCGAGTGACGGCTCTAGTGTTGGTAGTACCGACTGTGACGGTCTCGACTCTTCAAGCTCTTCGTTTCTCACAACTGCTGGTGTGGTCTCTACTTTGTTGTCGAACCGTGAAGTATGAGCGTTTAAATCGACCTTTTGGAATGACTGATTTTGTGATGAAGTTGCTTCAGCACTTTGCTTACCGTCAGTACCAGCGGGATTGAACTCTTCGTCCAGGAACTTTGGGTCAGCGTCCGCAGATCTTGCCTGGAGAGCAGGTTCGGATGCCTTCTCGAAATCACGAGAAGAACCTTGGTTGATAGGACCGCCAACTACCCTCCCGGAGTTTGTCTCCCGAACAGACTGGGACCTTTCTTTCTCTTCACAATCCCCTGAAGAACTCTGAGAAACCTGATTGCTGGGTCTCCCTTTGCTCGGTCCTTTTGCACAATTCAAGGTAGATCTTTGAGAGTCTTGAGATACCTCACGGCGTTGTTCAACGGGCTTGAGCTCCCCCTTACGAACGGTATCCTTTGGTCTAGCTGTATCAAGAGCACTGTTCGCGCTTAAACAAACCAGCTCACTCGAGAGACAGTCGCTAGCGTTGTCTGCAGGCGAAGGGCCGCTAAAGTATGTACTAAAAGTGTTAAGATGGGCTTGCGCAGCCTGCGAAAGCCGATCACTCGGTTCTTCAAGAGGGAACTGAGGTGAACGTTGAGGGCTGGGTGCGTCTAAAGAGCCTAAGAACTTAGGTGGTTGGCTTCCCAAGAAGGACGGGGTTGCCCTGGCGCTATCTTCTATGGTCGATCTTAGTTCCTCACGCTGCACCGATTCTTCGATCTGTTGTGATACAAGGCGATTTGGTGCGCAACCCGACTGAGAAACTGGGGTAAAATGAGGAGAATCCTGGGTATGGTTGTCCTGTACCTCAAGTTGATTGGGCTGATGCGATGGGATATCACGACTGGCGTCAGAAGAGGTTATACTCCGATTCTCAGTTGGTAGATTTTCGCCCGAACTTTTCTGAAAACGTGCACTGTCGTGATGCTGTGTGTAATTACTCTCTTGGGTTTGATCCTGCGAGTCTGGAATAACAATCTCTATGCCAACAGCTCGGACTGGGTTCGCACTCGGGAGGGAAGCAGTGAGGCTGGAGGGGTCTTCGGAGTCCGGTATAGTACGATAACTCAGTTGTGGCGAAAGAGGGTCTAATTCAGGGATTGGTTGGGATGATAGGGCAGTGGCTTGGCTGGCGCCGTAAGTGCGTTGATAATCGGCGGGATTGAAGCTTGGGCTTGCTTGAATCTCGACTGAGAGAGTCTTCTTGGTAGCGGGTTTTGATGATGTCGCGGTAATAGGCTCGATAGGCTCAACCGAAGCGCTTGGTAGGGACGGCGAGGGGCTTACGATGTGATTAAGCTTCGTTTTCTTTCGCACAGGCTCGAGGTCTGATTCATCAGCTGTTGGCGACCTGCTTCTTACAAGTTGCGATTGTGTAGTATTTGATTCTTGTGAAGCTTCTGCTCCCCGAAAGGATAGACTAGGATCCGGCCCAACGTCTTGTGTTTCGCCCTTAGATTGTCGACGGGAAGGTGGTTTCTGCTTTTTGGCTCTCTTCTTCTCCTGCCATTCATCCCTAGCTTCCTTGGTGACGTCGCGGCTCTTTGCCTACCGATTAAGAAGATGATGTGGTTAGCGACTTCGTATGCGCCCGCACGTGTAAAAGCATGTTGGCTTACCCAGGTGGGATCGTAAGATTTCCCCGTTTTTGGATTGTCTTCCCAGTCTATCAAGTACTCAACCTTGCCCCGCACTCTCCTCTCGTCTATGATATCTTTGATAACGTACCAGCCGGACTCTTCCTCGTTGTCGTCGGCTGGGGGCGCAGATATTACAGGCGTGGACTTTTTGGTCTGTTTCTTGCGAACTCGGCGGGGCATTGACCTGGGTGATTTTGGTTAGCAAGATGCCAGGACGATGGCGGCGACTATCCGAGTGCAGCCATGAATACACTCGTAGCAGCCTATGGGCAGGTAGTGCCAGCCAGTCGCTGTGATGTAAGTCGCGATCGTGCGTCGCCGCCTCGGTAGACCAACGCGGGTGTTTGTGTTGGTTGACTTACAAGTTGGTTGCTGGTTAGCGGGAACCAAAGCTCTCCACTATGCAGTCTTAGGTAATAAAGTAGGGGTCGATTCGCTGTAAAAACTAGGGGTCTGTCGCTGGTGGCCAGTGCGCGTGTGGGCTGGCCACGCTCATGGGTGGAGGCAAGGACTGCCCTAGACAGGAGAAAGCCAATCACGTGCGAGCCCCTGCCTGACTTTTCGCTAGGCCCGGCAATCTGGATTCTGGCGCGAGGGACTGATCAGGCAAGTCTGAGACGGGAGGGATAAAATGCTACCCTGTCAGGGAGAGCAACCGCTGTGCTGTAGTTGTTAGTTAGGTATATTTGTCGAGCTAACGACCGCTGCAGTATTCCAAAACCTTTCTGGTTCCAAGAGAAAGTTCCTGGGCTGGACGTAGGTATTGGGCACAGAGGGCGCTGTTGGAAATGCAAAAGGGGAGGAGGCGAAGACGTTGAGGATGGGGAAGGCTGAGAAGTGACTCGCGCTTTCAGGCCGGGGTGGTCGATGTTTATGAAAGTCGGGACCGCATTGTACACTTACGACGTGTGTTTATGATATGAGCTGGCACGTTGTGTGTGCCTAAGCCTTTGCGGTTGGTGCGTACCTGTCGGTGGCCAAGCGTCGGCAGCTTGCTTTAGACTGGACACGGTGGTGGTAGGGTAGGGCAATGTTGGGTCGGGAGGTTAGGTACGCGCCGAGGGTGCCTGCCTACATTGCAAATTATTATGGACGGCAGGCGGCAGGTCGGTTAGTGAACGACGTTGGTGGCTCTTGCCTCAATGTGGGCAGTTTGTGTTACCACATAGTGGCCGAGGTCGACGACGACGTTTGTTCATCGAGCAGCTGGCACGAGCTCCTTTTCCCAACTTCTAACTGATCCAGCCCGTTCCGTTCCACTAGTCTGCCTAGCCCTACCTTAGGTACCTTGCCTAGGCAGGTACCTTACTTGAGTGTCATCACAGTTTGTCCTTTTTAACAGTCATTATTACTTTAAACGAATATCCTCTTGTGCTGATGGATTACTTGAACCATGCTTGTCTATATTCCACAAGACTGCCACTCTCACCAATAAGACGTCCAGTATCCCTTCCTGGACTTCATGTTAGAGCATCTGCAGACACCTCTCAAGAACAGAGCCTCTCTTTGACCCATTACGAACACTTTTATTTTAGTTCTGTTACACGGCTCTCTAAACTGATCAATCACAGCAACCAGTACAAACTCCGACGACGATCTGCAGCCCATTTTTACGTTGCTTGGGTTCCAAAGATCTCCTCCTCGACCGCTGCAAGATCTACCTCGAACAAAGATCCCCCGTACCGCAACATCTCATTCTCTATGCGCATGCGGTGTAGACGAACAGCAAGCTTAGCTCTTTGGTTCAGCTCTGAGCAAGCAGTCAGAACATTTCGAATCACTGGCAAATTCCCAGCGTCTCTAATTCGCTTGTCCAATGCTGCCACGGACTCATCGATAAGTCCGGCATCATAGTCTATCCAGTCGTGGTGTGTATGTGAAGAAACCGTTAAATTGTTGGCAATTAAAATCACCAGGGCTGCCTGGTATGCACAGGTCACGCTCCTACTTCTGGTCAGAACCTAGCTCCCTCCAGGTACCTGGGGGAATGTTTGAAGAACTGGACGGGATGGGACTCAGAACTCTCAGCTCACTCACCATACCAGCCCAGTATCGCTCGGGCTTATCAGATTAATCAGTTTGATACCCAATCTTGCCGTCTGCAAAAAGTCCTGCCAGGCCTCCGAGCGCACCATTGGGACTGAGTTATCATTACCAAGATTTAACTCTCCTGGATTGACAAATTGATCGCTGAATTCCGTAAGCTGTTGGATCCAAACTGCATCGCGGGCATGGATTCTGTGTGCCATGAACAGACAGTGACCACATGTTGAGTGGATAGAGATGAGATGCCTGAGCATGTTTCCGCCCATTGAGAGGCTAAGCTTGTCCGCCTGGAACTCGCTAGGCAGGCTTGATCTCCAGTGCCGGATCATCTGCTGAACCCGTCTCGATGCAGCCTGATGCTGCTCTTGCGATAGCTTCTTTGCACGGACTGAAAAGGTCCAGTCATAAACTTTGGCCTGTATCCGTGCGAGCTGAACTCGGTGGTGGAAGAAATTAAGACTCAAAGTTCCATCACTGGAGACCAAGGTCCCTGGCACATGCTCTGCGACAGTGTTTGTAGGTATGTCGACATCATAGTCGTTGTCTTGCAGGCAGTAAGGCTCAATGGCACGCATCGATATGTCTTTGTCGAGGATGTATGCTATCCAGAACAACCGATCTCCTTGGGCAGCCGTTTCGGGATCCATGTAAGCCTTTGCCTCCTTGGTATGGAGTCTCAGGCGGTGGACCAGCTTTATTGCTGTTGCGATCAAAACACACGACGGATAGGGATTCGAGGTATAAAGAAACAAAATCACCAGTCCCAGAACAACCTGGAGCCCCTTCAGATCCTCTGATCGTGTCACCAAACCGTTCAGTACGGACTGCGCATTGCTGATATAAGTGTTAGTCGCCAGCTCGCTATCAGCACGTTCCTGCTTGTCTGTTTGACGCAAGGACAATGCGAGAACCACGTTCACAGCAGCCCATGTCGCCTCGTCACGCCCCATGGGCTGATTGTACCACCTCTCCAGCATTATCATGAACTCCGGCTGATGAAATAAGGGTATGGCCTTATTGAAACCCGCAAAGTAGCTCTCTACATCGGGAAGAATCTCAGAAAGGGGCGGCAACGAATGCTCACTTTCTCGATGTAATACAACAGACGACTCGCCAGTCATGCGCGCCAAAGTGCCCCCGGGTATAAACGAGGTAGGCTCATTGAGCTCATAGCTGCCATCGTTAGAACGAGATTCTCTATCCCAACTCGATAAAGGACTTTGTATGCCCGCCTGGTTTTTGTTTTCCATACGGGCCTCGATTGCAGCTAGGCGGCTCTCCAGGTAATCCAGACGGTTTATCTCGGCTGGTTCACTAAATCTCGTCAATTTTAATTCCTTCATCTTCTTCTTAATCTTGGGGTTGTTGCCTCACGTAAATTGGGGTTTGGTGATGGTCTTCTTGGCTTTTACGCCAGGGGTCCAAACGCAGGGGACTTTCTGAGCGACACAGTTGGAACATTTCGGCTGTTGAGTATCGCACTTAATCTTTTTGCGACAGCAGAAGTCGCAGGCCTAGAGCAAGGCAGAAGGTCAGTCTTCAGCTGGAATTCGGGTCAGATCCAATCAAGAGGGCGCTGGCAAAGGTACCGTTCGTCGCCCAAGCGGCCGTCCACCTTTCTTGGGCTCCATTGCCTCTTCTAGAAATACAGACCAAAGGGCCTGGAGTAAGTCGTCGGCAGTGTATAAACGCGGAGTGGTGAGAAGGGAACTACAACACCACCCACAGCCTGATCATTCGTGCACACGGCTGTGATATCTGTATGAATGCTTGAATATGAATTTTTTAGATGAATGGTGTGAATTGTACGATGCGATCTACAAGTTCCAGGAAGACAAAAGGCAACAAGCACACAGAGCTGTCCGGAGTCCGGTCGGACACACCGTCCGGGAGGAACTCCGGAAGAAATATGAAAAAAAATGAGGACTGCGCGCGCAAACTGACAAAGCAAAGCACAGCCCCGGCAGATAATCAGACAAGTCAGATTCTCTATGGGCATGGGTGGGTGGAATGCCGCCTTCGCTTACTCCGTCCGTTACATTTCCACACCGTCCAGCCCCACCGTCAACAGGCGCGAGCTTTGGATGCTCTTCCTTCTATTGACCAGCTCCTCGGCATCCCAGTTTGCCCAGACAAATTTGCTCTTCAGGAACTTGGCCTCTTCTGACGCAAGCCATACGCAAGCTTGGCCAGGGAGCTCAACTGCAGGGAGACATGTGGGTTAGCCAGATACATCTGCACAGTGCCGGCGTCGGCTTCAGTTCGATGTTGAGGGCACCAACTTACCTTCGTCTTGTCCGATCAGATCAGAGCCTGGCCCTCCGATCTCCGTCGCAACGACTCCAGGGTGCAGGTTGACCGTGTGTAGTTGGGGGTTCTCGGCCCCAAGGTATTCTATGAGCTTCAGCTGCGCGGCCTTGCTGGCCGTATACGCTGCCATCCCACCCATCGGCTGGATGTGTACAAGACTCGCCGAGATGTTGATGAGGATTGGCGTTGAGCCTGCAGACGATACGAAGGCCTGTGTGGCATGAAGGGTAGTCGTGACGTTGGTCTCGAACATGACAGAGAAACTCTCTGCTGCGTATTTGAGGGCAGGGGTTGGAGGAGCCATTGCACCCGCATTGTTGACGAGAATGTCGAGCTTCCCAACCTTTGCGACAATGCTGGAAAAGGCAGCGTCAACCTCCTCTCGCTTTCTGAGGTCGGCAACCTCGTACAGGACTTGGATCTCTGAGGGGTTGGCGGCTTGGGCCAAGATGGCCTCCTTACTCGCCTCTAGCCTGTCCAGTCGGCGGCCGAGGATAGAGACGGATTTGGCGCCAGCTTGAGCGAATGCAATAGCTGCCGCCTTTCCGATCCCAGTGCCGCCTCCAGTGACGATGACGTTCTTGCCCGCAGCTGATAGCTCAGGGCGTTTAGGTGAGATGGTCTTGTAGGGCTTATTGTGCCATTTCTCGGTGAAGGAAACCCATTTGGGAACCACGACGTCCTGGCTGGCTGGCATTTTAACGAAGAGGTTTGTATGAAGATGCTATGAATTATGTTACTCGATGTGGAAATGTTGAATAAGATATGTCCAGCCCAAGACAGCATTCATCCAGGAATTAAATAGTTCTCTCGAATCGTAGTTGGAGAGTGGTATCTTCGCGGAGTCCGATCTTAATCAATCACAAATAATAGCTAATACTTGATTTCTCAGTTTTCGGTCATGGACGTCCGGCTCGACAGTCATTACGAGAGGTGAGGATTTGTCTGCCGGAGTCCGACCGGAACTGAAGCCTCAGCTAAAACATCAGGCTTAACAAGACGGAATCAGCTAGATTCGATGTCAGATAGCATTAGCAATAACTCGACGTGTTTGTATCCGAGCCATCCTTGGGAACCATAAAGCGACGAAAGAATCCGCTCGCTGCATGGTTTTTATCTTCAGCACAACAAGATAATAACACCAAACCGGATATTCTTCTACTTCTTTCAAATAACATTCACAGTTTCAACGAACATCTAATAACACAATGGTTGCTAAATACGCACAGGATCAGCCAGAGGGCTTCGTTAACCGTATTCAGCGGGTTGCCATCGTTGGTGTAAGTGGGAATTCGTCGTCTTCACAGATCTTCGTTCGCTGATGGAACCAATCTCAGGCTGGAGGCCAACTCGGTCGTCACATCACGGAAGAACTGCTCAAGACAGGCCAGCACACGATCACGGCCGTTACCAGGGCCGGTGGAAACTCAAAATTTCCAGAGGGTGTGATCCCCGCTGCCGTCGACTACACTGACGAGAGTGCCCTGGTATCCGCCCTCAATGGGCAGCAGTTCCTCATCATTACCTTGCCACATGATGCTACACCTGAAACTCACGCAAATATTGTCGAGGCGGCGGGTAAGACCGGCGTGCCATACATCATGCCAAATATTTACACCTGTGACATTGTAGTCAACAACAAGTCGCTTGGTGCTGAGGTCATGCTGGGAGAGAAACTTCGACCGATTGTTGAGCACATCAAACAAGTTGGAAAGAGCTCCTGGACAGTCCTCGTGACCAGCCTCTGGTACGAGTTCAGTCTGGCGTGCCCGCCCGACTGGTTCGGCTTCGACGTCGCCAAGCGGGAGGTCACCTTCTTCGATGACGGCGAGCGCAAGATCAATACTTCCTCCTGGCCGTTCATCGGAAAGACGGTGGCCGCATTCCTCAGCCTCAAGGAGCTTCCAGAGAACGAGGATGACAATTCTCTCACCGTCTCCTCCTTCCAGAACAAGCCGCTGTATACGTCGAGCTTCTTCGTCTCTCAGCGAGATATGCTAGACAGCATTCACCGCGTATCAGGCACCTCTGACAAGGACTGGACCATAAAGAAGGAGGCGAGCAGCAAGCGGGTCGCTGACGGACGAGCTCTCCTAGCGACGGGAGACCTCCGAGGGCTGGCAAGGATGTACTATTCTCGGATGTTTTTCCCAGGCTCGGAGGGGACGTACCAGGATAAGCTGCATACTAAGGCTCTGGGGCTTCCTGACGATGATTTGGACCAGGCAACAAAGCGGGCTCTGGCTATGGTTGAGTCCAACTGGCGTCCAATGTAATGAGATACTGTTGAAGGATAATTTGTTTTTGGAAGACTCATGCAACATGACCTCGATATCTTCCGAAATTGCGTAATTCTGTTTTAGTTGTCAATTTCCAATCCCTAAATATCAAATAGTTATACTTTGTTATGAGTGAGTTGAGAAAGAACACAAGCTGTGCCAACCCAAAGTGTTCAACACACCATTTATAGAGTTACGCTGCGATATGGCCACCTTGACACAGTTTTCGTTCTTTCCATAAAGTGTTTGTAAATACCCAAATTTATTTATAGAATGGCAAATTTTCTTTTGTTATAATTCATGCAATGTTTGCGATGTTTGCGAGTTGGTTAAGGTCGTCGCCCTAGTATAGGGTAACCCAGCGAGTGAGGCGTCGGGTGTCGAATCTTAAAACAGTTTCCATCAGCCGCCTGGACCATCATCAATCAATCAATCGTGGTTCCAACCCCGGCTTCGTCCTGCTACGCTCCACCATCTCGCATGCACCTGTTTAGTCACTCTCAATCCTCTTCAATAGGTCGTATTAATCCAACGCGCAAATGGGAATTTCTGACTCTGCAATCGCAACATGTCAGCCAGCTTTGGAATCCAGCCAATAGGTCGCTTCGCCGGCGGCAGCCAGCCTGTGAAGAGACCCAAGGTATGTCCATCATCAACCGGTCACAATTCTCATGGGAAAACTAAACATGCAATCTAGGAGTTTGCTTGCTTTTCATATGATGAGAACCATCAGTTTCACCTCGATGATTCATCCATACAGTATTACTACCCGCCTACTCTGGGCGCGGACCTGTCCAAGGGTTTTGAGACTTTCCAGAAGCAGGATGATTCCAAAGATGAGCACCTGGATAGCCTGCTAAAGACTATCATCGACCATGAGCAGAAAGAGGGTAAGAAGATTGATGCTAACGTGGTGACGTGGAGAGGAATGATTACAAAGGTAGAGTGTTCCACAGAATAGCGTCACCTATGAGTATCGCATCTAACATATAGAAACAACAGATCATGGCCACGCCTTTTGAAACGAGGGATGGGTGAGTGCGCAATTTGGTCGTTTAGAAGGCTGAGTACTTATTCCGGGTGGCACAGCTTTGAAATGAACGCCACGTTGTATCAGGTACGGTTGATCCCTTGAGCCCCAGGAAGATCTTGACTGATGAGAATTACCAACATAAGGACTGCCTGTAAGTCATATTTCTATACTATCTTACTGAAAACTTCTCTTAAGCGAACCCCAGATACTAATAGGCACCCAGCTTCATTGAGGAGAGCCACAGGCATAAAATGGAATCTAGGGCCAATGAGAAAGGGCCGGCTAAACGACGAGGTCCTCCTTTAGAAGTTATGCAATTCTGGGGTAGGTCTCCTACTTTCTCTTTGATAAGAGGCCATTGAACATAGACTTACAAACTACTTCTAAAGGCTACAAATTCGAAACACTAGCAACTCTTCCGAAGACGTGGGCCGAAACCTCGCGCGATTACATCGAAGAGCGGGAGAATCATGTCGTCAACAACAAGGCTCAGTACTGCTCTGTCGTCCGCACCGGAATCGGAAAGACGGTGATGTGTCTCGGCGGTGAAGTCGATGCCAGTAAGTGTCCACCGCATTCTCAGTCTTCCCCCTTGCCAGCGAGGGGAAGGGATGACAATGAATAAAAGACAGAGCGACATGAATTCTTACTGATGCATTTAAACATGAAATAGTCTGGGACTCCAAACCTCTCATCCAAGGAAGCCCGACAAACTGGGTCGAGCTGAAGACGTCCGCTGAGATCCGAGGACCCCAGGACAGGGACTACTTCCACCGCAAGCTCATGAAGTTCTGGATCCAGTCCTTCCTGCTAGGCGTCCCTAAGATCATCGTCGGCTTCCGGACTCGCGATGGCATCCTCTCCAGCGTCGACGAGATTGAGACGCAGAGCATACCGCAAATCGTCAACTCCCAGCCGAACCCGTCGTGGAACGCCGACATGTGTGTCAACTTTGCCGGCATATTTTTAGAGTGTAAGTGTACCCATCCCTTATCTCGCGGATGAGATCAACCTGTGCTGATAATGTGAACCTAATCAGGGTTAACTCAAAATATCAATGACGAGGGGGTGTGGAGGATATCTCGAAAACCACAGTCACCCATCATTGAGGTGTATAGGGTGCAGGACACCGGCCATGGTGACATTCTCTCCGAAGAATTCAAGAATTGGAGGATCAAGCTGGCTATGAAACAGCAAGATGAGCAGATTGAAGGTTGACCGTATGCGTGGCAACTTTGGCCAGTGTCAAAGTTCATGGACAGACAGTTGCACATCACATGTTGAGCACTGCTATGCGTCTTGTATTCAATCAGATGAATTGGTCATCTATGTAATTGGGACTCTATCTACCAAGTAATTCAAATCAAACCACAACTAAATCCGATAAACGCCGTTCTCATGTACATTATATCAAGTCATCAGCCAACATGAGCCGTCAAGGTGTCATGTGCAAAGGCATTGTGCCAGACTTCAACCAGTCCTCGCGATTCCCATGCCGAAAGTTTGGGGCATGAAAGTCACTCCCCTGCTCCCGTGAATTAGGTTTCAAGTCAATAATCAGTTTCGCCATGCAGTACAAAATGTCACAAACAGTAAATAGTACAGATCCAGGATGGTGGGACTCGCCCATCATCTAAGGGTTTTGGTTCCCTCCGATCGCGCTGAAAACAAGAAAAGATTTCTTTCTCATTTCCACCAAATCCACCCTCATTGATGGAGAAAGCATACCTCTCGGTTGAGTTTAGGCGGCAGGCCATCGAATGCGAAGACCCTCAGCCCAACGGTTGTAGAGGACATCTGAAAGCTGCTTGCAATGCTCCATGCCTGACCTCATCTCCCGCCCGGGATACTTGGACTCAATTATGGATTGCTCCTTCTCATTGAAGCCCTCAGCGACAGGGGATTCTCCCTGCCGGCGCCTATGGCTCTTCAAATGAGGGTTGTTTGAGCTAAGAACAAGCTTCGTAGGGCTAGTCATAGGCGTCGAGCTCTTAATGATGACAGTTCCTTGAGGAGTCCCATCGTCAGGTATCTTCCTAGATGGCTTATCAAGCAGAGCGCCGTTGAGCTTCTTGTCTTGGGACATAGAAGTGAGAAGATTATTGACGAGATGATACGCGCCTTCCGGATCGACGGCATCTAAAGCCGCAAACGCATCAGACAGCTTAGCTAGAGCGTCGCGCTTTTGCATTGCAGAAGTTTGGGCATGTAGCTCGGAGAGGCTGGGCTCGATGGCTTTGTTGTAGAGTCTACGCCCAAGAATCGCCTCCTTCCCATAGGGTTCAATAGGAGCCGCTGCTGTGGGTGGCACGTTCTCATCGCAAAATACGTCATCGGGAGAGCCAGGTCGCCCAGCCTCTCCCCTTGTAGAGCTATCTGAAGGAACTCTGCGGAATAGGCGCATGGTCGAACCGGAGTTTCCGAATGACATGTCGGGCTGAAGGGGTCTCTTAGCCACAACTGAGCCTCGGGGCAAGCTGTTCCTGGGGGAGCCAGTGGAATGCATAGCTGACACCTGTGCCATTGATGGGGTTCGTCGAACTGTGGATTTGCGTATCGTTCCAACGGCGGGTGAGGCTGAGCCCAAGGGAGCATCCTTGAGATCAAGTCTGCGCATGGATTCCTCGGTAGCCAACATGGAGGATGGCTTTCGGTGGTGCCTGATGGTTGGTCGCTTGGGTGGTGCGACAGATTTGACTGTGTCAAAGATCCATTCTTCCTCATCATCCTTGGGGGAAATAGTTTGTAGAGTCTCCTGGTAGTAGATTGGGTGCCTCTGGCGGTTTTGGTTTGCATCCCACATCTGTCTTCGCGCGATGAGCTCCTGCAGGGCCTCGACCTTGCCAGCGGAACGAATAAAGCGATGGCGCAATAGCTCCTTTGCAGTTGGTCGGCGATCGTAGTCCTTAATGAGACATTGGGATACAAAGTCTCTGAATTCTTTGCTGAAATGGCCCTCTAGAGCTGGGGGAGGATTCTTGGGGATGTGGAACAGCACCTTCATAGGATGAATATGTGCTAGTGGCGGCTCGCCGTTCGCCATCTCCATGGCAGTAATGCCCAATGACCAAATGTCAGCCTTGAAGCTGTACCCATCTTGCTGTATAACTTCCGGGGCCATCCAGAATGGAGTCCCGACAAATGTGTTGCGCTGCGATTTGATATTGGTCAGCTGGGCGGCGACGCCGAAATCTGCCAGCTTCACTTTGCCGGACTCTGAAAGGAGGACATTGGCGGCTTTGATGTCTCGGTGGATTTTGCCTTCCTGGTGCAAGTACTGAATGCCCAGAAGCAATTCGCGACAGACAATGGCAATATGCGTCTCGCTGAAGTTGGCCGGTTTGAGCTAGGTACCTGGTTAGCGAATGCTCAAACGTGGTCGAGGAGTGTTCGACAGTACCAAATCAAGACATGAGCCACCACCAAGATACTCCATGACAATCCATAACTTGTGGCCTCGGAGAAATGAGCCCTTGTACTGGGTCACAAACGGGCTGGCGCAAGTGCTGAGGACAGCTATTTCGGCTTGAATGTCTTGAATATCATCGTCGTTGGATTCGAGATCGATCTGCGAGTAGTCGTATTAGAATCAGACCGTATGGCAAGGGGCAGGAAAATGCTCACATGTTTGATGGCGACAGTCTCTCCTGTTGCTTTCTCAATACCCTTGTATACCACACCAAAGCTTCCACCTGCGCGAGATGGTGAGTTAGCAAATAAGACATGACAAGAGCGGGTGTAAGTTGCACTTACGGCCAAGTTCCTCGAGAACCTGGTAGTGGTCGGCCAAACCCTCGGCAGCCATCTTGGATCAACCTCAACCGTAGTTCTATCTCGGAAACTGTCGGGGACAGAGAAGAGAACAATCACTGAGAGAGGTAGAGCCTGGCGCCGTTGGTGTTTGCTGAACCCCGTCACTTGGTGCGAGGCAATTGGTGTGACGACGGAAGAGACGATAGTAGGACAGGCGGGCGACGGATGGGATGGATATTATTTACACTCGGTGATCATTTCACAAGTAATGCAGGCCCAAGCGGGTTGTCCTGGGATACTGCTACCAGGATCGTTCAGGGTGCCCGTTAGCAGGTCTGGGCACATCCTCTAGAACCATTCAGTGGGTCCCGCAGGAGCTCGCAGGCGTCCAGCAACCACCAGATTGGGCTCTTGTGCCTGAGAGTACATGGAAGGTACATCGCTGGCGTGCTGCAGCCACCGCGGGGCGCAGGTACCGGTCCACGAACCAGGGTTGCAGCTAAATTATGCGCCCAGCCGTCACCAACGTCATCAGCTGCGACAACAATATTTGCATGGCATTTTGAAACATTGAAACCAACCCAAACGAACAGCACCACATCGCATCGCATATACGAACCTAGCAGTGGCAGCTGCCTTGCTCACACCAATCATGCTCTCCTTCTCTTCAGCTTGGCCAGTCCCAACCCGCGCTGCATATCGCGATTTCGCTTCCACTGGATAGCGCAAATCCCATCTCAAATTGCGACGCCGCTTCGGAGTTCACCATGTCCGTTGTCAGAGCAACCGTAAGCCCCTCCACCACCACCATCCACTAGCGAGTGCCTGAAATTATGAAACAGCTCCCGAAAGGCGTTGGACTACCTTATGCGTCCGATGTATTAGGCGGCATGTCTCATTTGACACATCAAATAACAGCTACCGCTCTATCAACCGATCCGCACGGCTGTAAGGCATTCAACAGATGCGGGTTTCGACATGGGAAATGGCATAAATTATTTGGAAGCTCAAGATGAAGCTTCAATTCCAGTGCATCTTTGATGTACTGCAAAACCCCAGATTTCAGATAGCAAATGTTCAACTCTGAATCAGCCACCACGCCCCGACCGAGACAACGGAGTATGGGCTTCTATAAGTTTAACGATACATAGTATGCAAGGAAGTATAGATCTCCAACTTGACCCACCACTGACCAAGAGCACCATCTATATCCAAACACAGATATGGTTTGAGTCCAGGCGTTTGAACAATAAGCGCATTAACAGTCGGCACAGCAGCATGTTCGAACTGCATCGGTAATGAGAAAACAATATCCATTTATGCGAACTGCGACACGAGTCAAACAGATTGTTGAGGCATCACCACTGCCGAAATCTTTAAGTAGTAGCGATGCTTCTGCTTACCCTGAAACAACACAGAAAGTCGATTTCAAGGTTGCCATCCCTGCTCAACTTCCAAGGAAGTTTTGCCTTGCACAGGTCTACCTACAGCATCCCTGATGCCAAAGCCCCACTGCCAGTCGCTCTGCTCCGGCTTGGGCTTGGGGTAAACCTTGACGCCTTTGAGTCAAGCATTGCTTCAGCAACAACAGCCTCAAAATGTGACAGAGGAACTGCTCGTTTTTTCAAAAGGACCCCGTAAACGTAGCTGAGCCTTGCATTGCAGCATGCAGTCTCGGATTAAGACTTTTGTATGTGAATGTCCTGCAGTCTACATTGTCTCGGACAAGGTAATCCCTGAGTCATACAACAGAAGTGACCAATAGCAAGTGGTGCCTAGAGCTTTATAGAATTGTTTTTTCGAATGTATCATGTCTGACACGACAACGGGTGGTCGTGGTGTTGTCTGCGTGAGACCTAAAACGGAGCACATCTATTCATCAGTCACGGGACTCTGAAAGTAGGTATTGGATCTTCATCAAGCCAGCGGAGAGAATAAGCACAATTGGCTGAGTATCAGGCATACTTTAAATGAAGCCTCCGTACCGAGGATGCTGGGGTAGAGCGAGAATCGGGATTCTGCCGTATTATGTAAAATGATACAGCTGGGGATTTGCCAAGACTACTGGAGCAGGTGATCTCACAAGCCAATAGTCTCCCTTTCTCAGGTAGCCCCCTTTGTCGCACTCGTATCGCATCGAGTATGTATGAGATGAGTGTAACCGAAGACTGACACGAGAAGTTAACATATGGTGGCCGTCAGGTAGCTACCCGCTACCCGTTCAAAGGCGCCTCGCTGTGGCGGGCACCTACATGTGAGATCGGGCCCATGCCGGTACCACGAATTCTCGAACTCTTATCGCCGTTTCTCAGTAGGCACGAACGCTGTGCAACATGCTCGCACGGATACACCATCTACTATACATGCGACTTGTGCATCTTTGCCAAAATTGCAACCAACCTCATTTCATGTACCGCCGCGTCTTACGACAATTCAGCAGCTCCCCTTTGGGATCGGCGAGGCTTTGCATAAACCTCACTGATCATGGCCCTTGGAGGCTTGGCCTGGGGCCGGGGCCCACCAGCTACCGGTGGGCTAGCGCTTCTCCAGAGCCACCGCTGCTGCCCGCTGCATGACGCCGTTGCCCAGGCGACAACAGGCCACCCGATTGGGCTTTTCTCAACAGAGCGATCAGCCGTCGGCGCCAGTCAATAGCTGCGCTTCGTCGACGGAGCGCATACAGCATTGCAGCAACAAGCGAAAACAGTTCATGCGAAACTGAGCTGTTCTTGTGCGCACATATTGCCGGCCAAACCACTTGCACCCACCCCAAACTCGCCTTGTGTGCTTCGCTTAACCGTTCCTCCCTCACCTGCTTTTCACCGACACCGAAAATACGGCGTATTTCCACGACCATCGTTTGTGCCTCGACTTTCGTTTCGCTCGCTCGCTGTCGGCCAGACCTAATTTAGCTCCCCCTTGCTTTGCGATGCTGTTTGACTTTCCGACTGCTTGAGTTTTGTTCCGACGGGGCTGGATTGTGGTAGCTGCACCTAGCTATTGTTCGAACAAAGGCCACCGCACTGAGCCCTCCTTCCGCCAGTTTTGTCGCCATAACAAGCTTGGCTTGATTCTGGTGCCAGTCCATCCTGTGCCATGGCGCCCGCACCACCGCCGGTCCCCGTGCGGTTTCCTTGCTGGTGCCGAGCTGTTTATTCTTGGGGAGGCGAAGTAGGCAGTTTCTCAATACCCCATCCTACAATCTTTTCTGCGAGGGCCTTGCCTTCATTCTTTTTGCATGACTGACATCTCTCGCGCAGTCCAAACGAGACCTCGGCTTCATCGAGGGCGATCTGATCGAGTGCCTCAACGCTGGTGATGGCTCCTGGTGGGTGGGAAGACTCTACCGAGACCGGAGATCCGTTGGTTCTTTCCCTTCCAACTTTGTCGAGGTTCTTCCTCCCGAATTCCGACCTACAACCAAATCCGTGAGCCCTCTGCCCGACAGCAACACACCCAGCCCGAAAACTGGACCGCAAAAGTCAAGAACTTTCAGGAAACCGTTCGAGGCGTATGCCAAGGCCCCTCACTATACCACGGCGAAGCAGCCTGAGGTCTTCAAGGAGGTGATCAAGCCTCGCCAACGCGAAAATTCAGGACAGTCTTTTGCAAACAGGTCGACGCCGCCAGATGATATATCTCGAGCGCCATCTCCGGCACCCAGCCAGTTGCGGCATCATAACTCCATCTCACACCAACCCGAGCCACCGTCGTCTCACCATTACGGATCCAGAGCTCCCTCTCCAGGACCTACTCTGACCCGGCAATACGACCACCGAGCTGTTTCGCCAGCACCTACTCTGACTCGACAATACGACCACAGAGCTCCATCACCGGCGCCTCCGTTGAGTAGACATCATGACCCTAGAGCCGTGTCACCAGCACCGCCCTTGAGCCGACACTATGATCCTAGAGCTGTGTCGCCAGCACCTCCGTTAGCTCGACATCACGATCCTAGAGCACCATCACCCGCACCTCCATTAGCTCAATATCACGATCCGAGAGCACCATCACCAGGACCTACCTACGCTCACTACCATGATCCTAGGTCAACTTCTCCGGCACCCACTCTATCCCGTCATCACGACCCCAGGGCACCCTCGCCAGCACCTACTTTCAACCGATATCATGATCCAAGAGCTCCTTCGCCAGCCCCAACATTTACAGGCCATCATTCTCGGGGACCCTCACCTGCCCCATCCTTTCATCGTCACTCTAGCTTTGTCGCTGAACCTTTACGCAGCGACTCTCCACCGCCTCCACCGCCTCCTCATCGCCATGTTACTCACAGTAACAACAAGAAAGAGACGACAGAGTTCCAAGACACTCCATACGATTTATCACGCCATGGTTCCAATGGTTCATACGCCCCCTATAACCCTTATGTCATGAGCCGTCAAAATTCTCATGCCTCATACCATGAACCAGCAGCGCTTTCGCGGAATAATTCACATGCATCCTATAGTCAGGATCGTTATAACTCTGAGAATGCAGGCCACCATACTCCACGAGCTGTATCTCCCCGTCCGGAGACTTCCCATTTGACACCATCACCATTGAGAGAGGCCATGGATGGTGTCATGGAGCAGTTAGGTGAACTCCAAGGCTTTGGCCATTCGGACGATATGGAATCTAGTGGCCGGCCGTTAGAACCATGGGGGCCGGATTCGTTTGGCTCAGTACAGAGCCAATCTCGAGGGAGAGCGCAGTCCGCCGCCAGGCCCTTGACCGCAATGGGCTTGCCCGGCTCCGATGAGGGATACGAGACCTGGAGTGGCGGCTCGTCTAAAGAAGCCTCGTTCTCACATGGCAATAACGGCAAATCAGGCCAGCCTCCCGAACTCAGCAATTATGTCGAAAGGATGGAGAAGAGATTCCGGGCTCTGCATAAAAATAACCCAAAGACACCTTCGGAAGCCCCTGATGATGACATGCCACCACCTCCGCCACCAAAGGGTCAACCGTTTGAGCGTCCAAAGTCATCTATGGGTAGTTTCAGCAGCAGCTCATCTGCTCCACGTCGCAAACTTCGGGCTCGGAAATCAGCGTATGAGATTGGTCAAGGAATTTCTAGGACTTTCACAACCAAGACAAATTCGACTCAGGCATCCTCGGGCAACCAGAGCAACACCAGTGCATCGACTCAGAGCAGTGGTAGGACACTGTGGAGTGGGGCATCGGCAAGTGGCTTCAGTTCAACGAGTGCTGGAAGCATGGCTCGAAACCACCGTCGATCTCAGAGCGCCTTTGGGACTAGAGATTCCGAGGCTGAAAGGCCTGATAGCCCTTTCACTGGCGTCACGTACCACAGCAGCCATGCAACAAATGCTCAAGCGACTGCGCGTCCAACTTCCCAAGCTAGTTTCCACAACGAGTCTGGCTTGGGCGGCCTTGTGCAACCCAAAGCACCAAAGCGCAACATTTTCAAGAAGATCTTTGAGTCGGCTCGAACAGGTGTTGCTACAAGCCGCGGGGGCCTTGCTGGGGGAACGCTGGGAGGAGAACGAGCTCGTGCTAATACTCTGGGCCACTCCTTGCCTCTGGGCTCATCACCAATGACCGGCATTGGGAACCCCCATATGGGCCGAGAGAATGCCAGAGAGATGGGGTTAGGAAGTGGAGTAGACTGGGTTCAGGTCCGACGAGATGTCAATCGATCAAACTCGCTCAGCAAAAACGAAAGGAGTGAGCGCAAGGAACGTTGCCAGATGCTCGATCATCCCACGTTGAATCCCGTTGACGAGCTATATGAGGCCGTAGAGGGTGATGAAGGAGCAGATGGATCTCCAGTCATTGATGGCATCAACTACCAATCCATCAATCTGAGCCAGGTCGACAAAAACTCAAAGTTCATTGCCGGGCTCCCTCCTCTCACGACATCAATCACACTAGCCACGATGTACGTCTGCAGACCTTACCGAAGTGACGTGCAGCGACTGCGAGCAATCTTCACCTGGGTTGCTGAGAAGATCTGCTGGGAAGAGGATTTCGAAGGACACATCGACACCCGCCAAGTCATCCAGAGCAAGAAGGCCTGTGCCGAGGAGTACGCCGTCTTGGTTATGGAAATGTGCAATGCGATTGGGATTCATTGCGAAATTGTGCGGGGATATCTCAAGACTCCTGGTGATGTGGCCGACTTGAACATGATGCCAAGGCCTAACCACTGGTGGAATGCCGTTGTCGTGGACAACGAGTGGCGTATTATCGACTGCTGCTTGGCAAGCCCCTCCAATCCTCGGCGTGGCCAGTACTCGAACGCACCAAACGCGACAGCAGACCCTTTTTGGTTCCTTGCCCGGCCACTAGAAGCGTGCTGGACTCATGTTCCCGACCACCATGACCAGCAACACATCGTTCCTCCTGTAGCGCATGAGACTCTTCTCAACTTGCCCTGTACCACCCCGGCCTTCTTCCGGGAGGGTATTGAGATGGTGGACTATAACACATCCATGAACAGAATTGAGGATCTGGAAATGGTCCACATCAAGTTTAACGTGCCTGCCGATGTTGAAGTAGCCGCCGAAGTGGAAACGAGAGCATTCTCAAGGGACTCGGACGGTGACGTATTTGAAAGCGGCGACTCTGTCACCAAACGAGCATTAGCTCAAGCAGAATGGTTCAATGGCGTTAAGAGATACACAGTCAAAGCCTTGCTGCCAGGTGACGAAGGCCAAGGGAAGCTGAAGATCTATGCGGGTAAAAGAGGCCTCATGCACAGCATCAAGGACATTCCTCATCCTCTGGCTTTTACATTGCCTATCATTCACACAGGGGAGAACCCGCCATATGACTTCGTCACCAGGCATCCAACTCCCCACGCCCAGCGACATGACATTTATGTGGTACAGCCACAATGCCAAAAACTAGCCCTGAACAACACATTCGTGTTTGCCATTCGTCAACACCCCAGCTCGCTGTCTTCAGGGCCTCAGTCATCGTTGACGCCTTCATCGAATCCCGGCGGAACAAGCCCTGTTCCATTCCTGCGTCCTGGGTCTGCTATGAGCATGACTGCCTCGATGAGTGGTACCGGCTCCAATCCAAGCTCAGCTAGCGGAACTGTAGCAGGAAAGAAGCCAGCCAAGCTAGCCATCCAAACTCCAGGAGGGAAGATTCTCCGTCTTATGCGGAAGGAGGATCGAAAGGGAATAAGTGTTGGCAGCAGGGTTCTTGGCAACGATGATGATGTTAGCGATGGCGGAACATGGGAGACCATCATCAAATGCTCGGAGAAGGGTACTTGGAGAGGTCTGGTGCTTGCTGATCGCACGGCAAGATGGTGTGTGTTTGCAGAGTGGGTATGCGTGGGTTAGTCGAACTCATTCGACTTGGATGTCGACGAGGAATATCATCGCTTATAATAGTGTCGGAATACGCGAGGGGACGACACATGGGGAGGTGAGAAGAAGAAAGAAGGGCACGGGGTTCCTCTGGAGTGCGGCATTGTTCATATATCAGGATGGGCTGCGGACATTCAGCATACTTCCGGCGTTTGGATTTAAATATTGGACTTGCATTTTCAGCCGATGACGTGGCTGGTCGCATTTGGTGTAAGGGTGGTCCATGGAAAAGACATCTGCACTGGAGCATTGTGATTTCATTTATTTTCTTTCTTTTTTTTTTTTTTCCTATTCTGAGTCCTGTTTCTTCATCTGGATTGTCAAGGGGTGTATATATCTGGCGTTCATAGATGCATGTGTTGGAATTTGGTGACATTTCTTCATGTCAACATTACTGCGATATTTAATGACGATTCTTCAATCAAACTACGCTATGCAGGTGATGTTGCTTGATGCTCGTAGAAGGAGAGAATGAGACGTTGCGAGGTTCGGCTCCGCTTCTGCCAGCAAGCAGCCTTGGACTGTTATGCGGTTGATATGTGCTTCAATGCTTTCTTCCAACCGATAAGATAGATAATAAGGGACATGGATAAAAGGAACAGTGCCTGGTACAGTGGTCTCACAGCTGCTGTGGATGAGGCCTGACCCCTTTGGGAACATGGACTGGTGGATCCTCTTCAACCTCGTTCTGTCCCGCGACTCGACACGCCAAGACACGAACCCTTTGCGCCTCACGCTCGTCGCCGCACTTCCTGCAACCGGCGACCACCATGTGCTCTTGACCCAGGCGCCGCGGAAACTAGACAACCGCGTCTCATGAAGCCTGGGAGATGACGTACGCAGGCTCACTGCCGTCCGGGCAGTCGCCGTATCCTGGCCAGCCTCCACCTCAGCAACACCACCTCCAGCAGCAGCAGCAGCAGCAGCAGCACCATCCAGCCAACTATTCCCCGGCGCAGCAGTATGCACCGCAGCCTTCTTACCAAGGCCACTCCCAGTTCCAGGCCCAGCAGCTCATGTACCACCAACCTCAGCAGCTCCAATCGCTCCCTCAGCAACAGCCGCAACCTCAGCCTCACCAGCGACAGCAGAACCCGTATGCGCAGCCGCAAGTCTTCCAGAACCAGCAGCTCCCCTTCGACTTCAACAACGGCTACCAGCAGCCTCAGATCCCAGGCGCGGAGAACCCATGGGCATACAATAATGTCGCCTCGTATGGAAATGGAAGCGTGGCGGACGGAGGCCTCGGTGGCAGCATGCAGATGCAGGTTGACGGCCAGTACATGGCATCCCCCAACGCGAATGTCATGTGGCAGCAAAAGCAACTCCAGCAACCGGAACAGATGAGACACCAGAGTCTCCCGCAGGCCTCATACACCGCTGGCGTTCAATCTATACCGGGGCCCCAATCTCGCACCGTGTCGATGCCGTCAGCTTCGCAGGTACGACCCCAAAGTCAGATACTTCAGATGGGCGGGAAGCGGCATCAAAGTTTGCAAGAACACCAATCACAATCACAAGCACAGCCCCAGATTGTCCGCCATGCGTCTATCCAGCACCATGGACCTACACAGTCGCCGATTTCGCCGCAAGCTTCATCGATGATGCCCCAACAGCGCCAGCTGCAGCCGGGACTTGTTCCGACGCCTGGACAATATCGCCAGCATCCTCAGCAAACCTACCAGGACCCGCGACAAGCGCAAACTCAACCGCAACAAGTCCCGGCTCCGCGGCGCGTTTCAGCGTCATCGCCGTTGCAACCACAGCATCGGCCGCGACCACAAGCCCAGCAACGTCCTGCGGCGCCGCAGCCAACCGCGCAACCAATAGCTCAGCAGCCGCCACAACCTATTTCGCAACCATCGTCTCGACCCCATCCGCAAGCGACTCCTGAGCCGCAAACTCCGGTCTCTGAACATCAGTTCCAAACACCAGCCCAGCCTCAGATGCAGTTTGTGAATTTGCAGGATATACAAAAAACGCCCTTGACCCCGTCTACGAGCGCCATCAACACCCAAGTGAGCTCTAATTTCGCAAGCAGCCCGGTGTCGCAGCCTATATCAGTCTCAAGAAAGTCGTCTGGCGAGGTTCCCAGACCATCACAGGGAAAGCCACCACCCCAGTCCATGACCCCGCAAGGCATTCGCAAATCTGCATCCCAGTCTCCAGCCATGACGGCCAGCAGATTATCGAGCAAGTCGCCGGCGATTTCATCCAAGGCTGCACCCCACACGATGACCCCAACTATCATATGTGTAGCGGAAGAGTTGATCACCAAAGCTCGCTCCATGGCTCCAACAATCGCCTCCTCTCTCAACTCGGCTGATGTTGAGGAATATCAGAAACTTGTTGGCACCGGATTGGCATGTCTGGAGACGGCTCTTCAGAGTCCTAGCTTATCACCACGACATGAAGCACGACTTCGTCTTCGGTATGCGGTCGTATTACAGGAGGAGACTGAGAACCTGATGGAGGCAGAGACAACATTGAGCAAGGGTATTACCCTGTGTGATAAGGTAAAGTGATCCTCCAACCTGGCTTGAAGGGATGAAAACGAGGCTAACCTGACCTAACAGCATCGAATGCTTGATCTGAAATATTGTATGCAACACTCTATGATGAAAGTCCTCTTCCAGCGGAATCGGAAAGCAGCTCTGAAGGCCCTAGACCAGCATATCAAGGACTGTGATGCGTAAGTTCTATTCAAGGAGACTATACCGACTAATAACATGCTCACATTCAGATGTTAGATATCAACATGTCCATTGGTCATACGCCTTCCGCCTACTCAAGGCCTCATTTTATATGGAGGCAGGCAATGCTGCAGATGCCACCGCGCTAGACAATCTCCGTGCCATTCAATCCTTTGCCCACCACAGGGGCGACGCCGCATTCAGCGTGTTTGCGTCCTTGACAGAGGCTCTTGTACTATTAAAAACATCAAAGGGAAGCCCCGAAATGATCCAGAACTGTATGGCTCAGGCAGCCAAGTATCAGTTAGATCCAAGTGTCCAGATTCCTCAGCTTGAGCTGTTTTCACTGCTTGTGGGATTTCTAACAAGTCTGCATCGCCAAAAGCACGAAGACACCGTCGAGCGTCTTCGTGCCTTGCAGAAGAAGATCGACAGTTGGCAAGATCCAAGATCGAAGGCCGATTTCCGCTTACCTGTCAAAAAACACATCCCTGCGTCGCAAACCATAAGCAAAGACACGTCGGCTGTCATCTGTCCGGGAGCAGAAGATGCAGACTCAGATCACTTAGTTGTATCCTTCATGTCTCAGATGGAGTCTACACTCTTAGTGTATGTCACGCCAACCCATTCTTTATTCTCTTCGCTGTCATTTTGGTTGAGTACTAATACCGTTTCAGGTTTGCGTTGGGTGGTTTGACGTATCTTCATAAACCCAGTTCTTCAGGGAAGAACCAATCCCACGACCTTTGGCGGCAGGGACTTCGGGTTCTCTCTCACTGTAAGTCTTGCTTTGGTTTCATTCATCCTCGCAGCTCGTTCAAGGGAAACTCACACAGTCATAGGGGACACATCGGGAACTACAGGCGGGCCACCCACCATTCTCAGCCAAGCGGTCAAACAGAAGATGTGGCGTACCGACATGCAGTGCTTCCTTAATATACTCCTCGGTCTTCTTGCGGCTAGTCAGTGCAGGTGGGACGTTGCCATGAAGCATGCCGAAACAGCGGAGAGCCATTGGCACATATCTACGAAGCAGGAGATGCTGAAAGCTTATCTGATCTATCTAAAAGGCGCCTGCCATCAGGGCACCGGCTGCTTTGACGCCGCCCTCAGCTACTTTAGGGACGATTCACTGGCCATTGAGGCAGGCAACCCAGCACCAAAGGCGCCCCAGCGTCATCTTGCACTACTGGCTGCAATGAACCAACTGTGGATCATGCAACGACCATCTCACCAAGACGACAGCGCAACGGTTGAGCTCATCAATGAGCTTGATCCTCTGTGCAGACCACACCCAAATATCGAGATTCGGGGCACATGGCAGAGTGTCCTGGCGGCGGTGGTCACCAACCCACCCCGGCAGCGGAATCAGCGCAAGGAGGATGCAGGGCAAGCCCTCTCCAACATCAAGGGCAACATCCTCGCAACCACTATCGGGCTCGTCATCGCCCGTGACCTCTTGTACAACAATCTCCTCGGCGAGCAGGCGTGGAAGTGCATGCAGGCGGCCGCCACCTGGGCGGGCCGGAGCGGGAACCCCCTGTGGCAGAGCGTCGTCGACGGCATCATCGCCGAGTTCTCCGACGCCAGGAATGAGAAGGAACAGTCGAGGAAGTTTTGGGAGAGGGGGGTTGAGGAAGCGAAAAATGCATTTGCTCGGAGTTCCTGAGACCAAGCGTTCTTTTTCTTTCATCGTGTCGTGTGCTACAGGCGTATATGGGTTTAATGATGTCCCGAGTATTGGTAGCATTATTTTGTTGGGACGTGGACGAAATTCGTTCGAAAAGAAAAATATCTATCCGGGCTGGTTTCTTGTCTGAGCCGGGGAAAGGAGCATTCAAAGACATATGGCAAATCTAAGGTATAGAAATAGTTGTCTTGCGAGCATACTTGGTCATAATTGATTGTACCTGCTATCAGGCGGGCTTATTTTTCTGACCATACATATGAGGATATATTGATAAGCTCATTGTGCTGAAGGATTTTGAAGTTGGCTGTGCGACCCTTGGGGGGAGGTAAAAATTGCTGTGCAGCATATTATTGGCGGGTAGACTTTTAAGGTACTGACTGCATGATGACCACCTAGAAATGCTAGCAACCCTTCTGATGAGGCCAAAATTGCTGTGCTGTACTTATGTGTTTCGGTCCAGATAATGATTGGTGCTCGGCAACAACGATCCGAGGCAAAGTACGTAGCAACGGTTGCAACGAAGCTAAAACAGCTGTGCAGCAGCGCTGGAGAAGAAAACGGTAAAAGTAACTTCACGTCGATGGGGTCCGGATTGCCAACAACGCTCTTACGAAAGTTATATCACTGGGCGTCGGGCTCGAAACCGCTCATGGTGGGAGTCTTAGGCAAACATGCAAGTCATGCACAGTTCATTCATCAAAGCGAGGCATGCAGATAGGTTTCAAGCCTTTAAGGCATTTATTCCGGGTATTTGGTCTTGGTATCGTGCCTTCTACCGCAAAATTAACACAAAGATGCCAACCCTCAAACGCCTTCGTAACTCCTCGCAAATATGAAAAGTCTAAGAATCAAATGATCCTTGACAGACTAAAAGCTCAATGTTTTTCCCCAATGCTTCTTCTTAGGTCGGTGCTTCTTCTTGGACTGAGGTTTCTTCTAAGGCGAGACTTGCTTCTGAGTAGAAGGTTCTCCCTGAGTAGAAAGCTCTCCCTGAGTAGAAGGTTCTTCCTAAGTAGGAGGTTCTTCCTAAGTAGAAGGTTCTTCCTGAGTAGAAAGTTCTTCCTGAGTAGAAAGTTCTTCCTGAGTAGAAAGTTCTTCCTGAGTAGAAGGTCCTCCCTGAGAAGATGGTTCTCCCTGAGTCGATGTCCCTTCAAACGGCGCATCCCCTTCCTTCACTTCTTCGCCAAATTCATCATCGTCTAGTCAGGTGAGAAACGTGTACCTTCCTTCGTTTTGATTACTTTCGAGAGAAACCGGGAGGAGGTGCTTGAAACCCTGGGGGAGGTGAAAAGCCCGGGGGTGCACCAGGTGATAAGCCTGGCGCACCAGCCGCTCCAGCTGCTCCAGGAGGAGGAGTGCCAGGGAAGCCAGGAGGGGGTGCAACGGGAAAGCCCTGGGGGACTGGGGAGCCGGTGGGGGGCCTGAAGCCGCCATGTCCAGGATGAAAGTCGGCCGGGTTGTTAAAGCCGCCGGGCTGGCCCTGGGGGGGTCGAGCGGGAAGTCCTGAAGGGGCTGGGGGGAGGGGAGCTGATCCACGACCGATGCCGGTTGGCGGTGGGATGGGATGGCCATAGGGAGGAGGCACACGGGGAGCAGCTTGGGGTGCGAATCCAGCGGCGGGTACGTGAGAAGGCGCAGGAATAGGCGCAGCACCTGGGGCCATTGACGAAGGGTCAAAGCCAGCAGGATGAGGAGGGGGAGCCTGGGTATTGGGGGCAGGTGTAGAGAGAAATGCGGGTGGGACGGGCTGGGTCTCGGGAACGATACCACGGCCCTTTGCCTGAGAGGCAAGTTCACGCTCAGCTTTATCACCGTGCCGCTCACCTTTTCCGTCCTTCTTGAAGGCATACTGAACAGAGACCTCCTTTGAGAGGATGTACTGGCCGTGAAGGTTCTTGATAGCTTCATCGGCGCTCTCGAATTCACCGAAACTGAGGAAGGCGTAGCCCTTGCTCGAACCGTTGTCGTCGCGAGCGACCTTGGGCAAATTGGCAATACGTCCGAAGTTGCTGAAAGTGTCGTAGAGAATCTTCTCGTCGACCATGGGGTCCAAGTTACCAACGAACAGGTTGGCGCCGACCTCGTTCGCCTTCTGCTTGTCGGCGGAAGCCTTGTTGACACGGAGATTCTTGCTGTAGAGCTTGACTCCGTTGATGCATTTGGCGGCGTAGTCGGCATCCTCGGCAGATCGGAATTCAACAAAGCCAAACCCTTGATGAGACTGGGTGACTCGATCGCGGGGCATATGGACATTCTGGATCGGACCCATTTGGACCATGATCTCGTAAATCATGGCGGGCGTGGCCCGCTCGTCGATGTTTCCGATGTAGACGGTGGCATCTTTGTCTTGCTCCCTGTAGAAAAAGAGTCAGCCAAGGGTTCCAATCTCGAGATATCTGCTGTAGAAATTCAGGTCCTGGGAGGAATTGCATACCAGTGGCGGTTTTGCGCCATGATGGATATCGTTAAGGGTACTCTTGGCCCTGCGTGGGAAGTTGAAAGGTGTGAAAAACGGAAGCGGAAGCTGTGGTTTGAAGCGATTGATCAAGAAAATTCTTCCCCGTCACCCCCGTTGATGTTTTTTCTGTTGTTGTTTACTCCCAAGTTTAAGGTGAGGTAAAGTTGAGCCTGGGGAATTTTGGGGTTTAGCGCGTACCTTTCACGCGACGAGTTTTTCCGGGGCCGGGCCCAAGCTCGAAATTTTGTGACGTTGACCTCAGATCAACCTCAGATCGATCTCAGATTCCTCAGACGCTCTATCCCTCCGTCGGCGGAACCAGCTTGCGTTAAATTTAATTCTGTGGCCATTCGGGAGACCAGCACTATACGATCTGCAAACCACATCATCTTCTGCCCAGCATGTTTGCCCTCTCCGAAGAGTCCAAGGTTCGATAGCCCGACAGATAAGACCACAAGCCAATCCCGAACCCGACACTGATATTTGAGCCACAGGAGCGCATTGTCAAGCTCATTGACATCTCCCGTGTCGCCATTCACTAGTAAGACCTCACATATAACCCCTCTTTTCGTGCTATTCCTTTTGCTAACAACTGCTCAGTGGCTACCTCCCCTTGATCCTCTACCTTGGTGCGCTCGAGACATACGAAGCAACCTCTTCAACTAACCCGTCAAGGATTCCAAAAAACTAACGACCTCACAGGCTACACCCGCAGCAACCCTCGCCCATCCGTCATCCGGTATGTGTCCTCCGAAGACGATATTTTGGATTAAGCTTACAACAATAACAGCCTTCTTTCTCCTCTCTCCTAAACAAAGATAACGACAACGAAGACTATGCGGTATTTGGGCCCCTAGATATTTTAGATGGGATATGGAATGGCGTAACCGAAGAATCATGAGCGTGTCTGGCGCTGGGGGAATCCTGCACTTGGCTGCAGACAGACCACAAAACTCAGACCTTGTAATAACCACCGCCCTGCTGGACGGCAGCTTGTACGATTATATACACACACATCATACTATTCCGAACTAAACAAAAAGTCACGATTCCAAAATTCCAATGTTGTCCATAATCACTAATATGTTTGTGATATATGCATGTGTCGAATAAATGCACTTTGGTTGCTGAGCTTGGGGACTTGCGCCCACCCTCCGGGCCCATAATTTAATTTTCCCGCTTTGAACCAAACATCACCACCGGCGTCATTGTCCCCTTTTCTGCCATTGCGACCTCGAGGATGTAAACAAGGGCTCGACATCCATCCAGCAGGCGCTGATGGTCCAAAACAACAATGCGGGAATCTCTCCCGCGGCCGTCGAGTCCATCGCCGGCCTCTCGGCCGGCGCGGTCTCAACCTTGGTCGTCCACCCGCTCGACATCGTGAAGACCCGCATGCAACGTACGTCCGTCCACGCGACGCCAGCCGATGAGCACATATTCGGGTTTAGAAACAAAAGCAAGATATTTGAGAACCATCTAGCTAACTAGATCTTCTTCTCCCAGTCCAGCAACGCAATGTCCCGCCCGCCGAGCGCCCATCAATGTGGGGTCTCGTCCGCTCGATGACGAACCACCACAACCCCCTCGCCGCGCTCTACCGCGGCCTCACGCCCAACCTCATCGGCAACGCGTCCTCCTGGGCCAGCTTCTTCTTCTTCAAGGCCCGCGTCGAGCGCGCCCTCAAGTTCTGGCGCGGGCGCGACAGCCCCACGGCGGCCGACTACCTCATCTCCCCCGCCGTCGCGGGCGCCGTCACCACAGTCCTCACCAACCCCATCTGGGTCATCAAGACGCGCATGCTCTCGAGCGACAGGGGCGCCGAGGGGGCATACCCGTCCACGGCGGCGGGGTTCCGCGCCATACTGAGGTCCGAGGGCGTCCGCGGCTTCTATAGGGGGCTGGGCGTCTCGCTCATCGGCGTCTCCCACGGCGCCGTCCAGTTCGCCGTCTACGAGCCCGCCAAGCGCATGTACGTCGCGTCGCGCGACGACCCGGGTGCGCCTATCCGCACCGAGGCCACCATGCTGATATCGGGCGGCGCAAAGCTCGTCGCCAGCGCCGTCACCTACCCGTACCAGGTCCTGCGCAGCCGCCTGCAGAACTACCAGTCCGAGGAGCGCTTCGGCCAGGGATTCCGCGGCGTCGTCCGCAAGACGTGGAGGGAGGAGGGCGTCAGAGGCTTCTATCGGGGTCTCGTCCCGGGCGTCATCAGGGTGATGCCGGCGACCTGGGTGACCTTCTTGGTGTACGAAAATGTCAAGTTCTACTTGCCTCAGTGGCTGGCTTGAACACACTCTTGCTCTTTCACCTCTCGGGGCATTTTCACGGGGCGTTGGACTCAAGAATTCAAGACTCGCGTTTATACTAGCATATAGACTAATATTTGAATCACTTTGAATATATCTCTGCTTGTCCTTACCACCTACCGTGCGTGCCCTAGAGTTAATGGTTCTCCTCACTTCCTGTGCGATTTACCCCTCCTTCTTTCCCATCAACGACACAAAAATACGAGGCTACCGAAATCGCAAGGCTTCCTGCCAGGGCTGGACCAAAAGACCTCTGACAGGAATTAGCCAGGTTACGCACGCAAGTCTGGAATCTCTGCCCAGAATGACCAGGGTTGCTTTCGCGCCTAAAACTTCCCCAAGGGGATTTCGGCCAACTCGCGCCCAAAGGAGAATACCGTATTTCCAGGCTGCTCTGTCGAGCCCGTCTGTCTTCTGTTGGCCCTGTTTTCTCGCGGCCTGATCGGTCAGATCAGGCATTGTTCATTCACTCTTGCAAGGGTGGCGCTTCGAAAATCAAACCTGGCGCATACCAGAGCCCAGAAGCAAAGAGTGCGTGGGGTTGCAATGCTTCATACCTACCTTACCGTACTATGTACAACATGCCCCCATGGCCATGGGGGTGACAATGGGCCTCTTGTTCTGACATGTCACAAATAAGGAGTTGCATGGGTGCCTGGATGAAGGGCTGAAAATAGTGACATTGCAAATTGCGATTTCAGCCTACCCGTTCCCAAAGATGGCTCAGAAGGGGCAGCAAGGAACATACCGGGAAGCCATTTGCGGCAGCTTGCTCCTGGGGAAGCCATCGTGGCTTGCCCGCGGGAGCAGACACACGAGGTTCATCCCTACTTTTGATTTTGTTCCTGGTCCTTGGTCCACTGAGCGATGCAACCGCTCCGGACCCCGCCGACAAGATCGGCTCAAGCTTACCAAGGACCACACTCTGTCGTGATATCCGATTCGAAGGATCTGTATCCATCCCGGCGGTGCTCTAGTGCCCAGTCGGGGGGGTTCGGTCATCAATCGCCCAACGACGGGGGTGCAAGTGCGCGTGCGAGAACCTCAAGGTGAGGCTGTCGCTCATGACGTTGGACCCTAGCATATCTCCAAATCAGTCCTGACCTGCATTGCCAGTACGTCGTTCCACTTACTATTTTCCATTCGTCAATCGCTGGGCAAGCTTTCGAGCACCGCCGCATAACGTTGCATTTGGGGCAGCTTTTAAATTTTTTTACTCACTCACCTTACGCCCTCTCTGAGTGGAGCGACTGTAGGCAAATTCCATAGCGGCGAGCATATCATGCAGGACTTGGCCGGCAAGCATGGCAAGGGTTTGTGACGGGTCTGGCGGACCTCAATCTCAAACTCCACCGTACTGCAACCCCGAGCAAAGCCGGGAGCCAGGTATCTTGCTTTTAACGGGACCAGTCTCGTAATATGGTTCGGGAGTGTCAACATGGCGTCGGCGCGCCTCGGGACATGCAAGCAGGACGATCAAGATGCCAATCTCACGGCAATCCCATATGACGATACGAGGCCCAATGCAGGGCGAGGCAAGGCTGTGGACAAGAGAGAGGAGCGTCTGCACAGAGGACGAGAAACCCCGGCAGCTCTGCGAGAATCCCGACCCTCTGTTCCCTCATACCCGGCTCTTTGCCTGGGTCAATCTATCCCGGTCTGCGTCGGTCTAGCGATTTGAAGTCGGGTGGAATTTGCTATCCAGACCGGTCAGCTGCGCCACTTCTGGAATGAGGCAGGTAAACAGCATGGGGCCATGGAAGGGGGAGAAAAACCTTGATGCTCGTTCCCCGAAGCATAGCCTCACATTGATGACAATGCTACCCCAGCATCCCAGAGACGGCCGTCTCCGCCTGACGCAAGAACCCTTCCGCCTACCTGGTAAAACAGGGCTGTAGAGGTGTTGTGCGCGTCCGGTATTGGGGGGTAGCATCCAGCCGCCATGGGTGCGATCTGGGATGTGTGATCCGGAGAGCTCTTGTTGGTTGTTGGTGAGTAGCACAATGCTGCCCAGGGGATGACTCGTCGAAAGGGCCGTATAACGCCGGTTGGTCCTGGGGGGTCGCAAGGCTCAATGCGGAGAGAAAGAGGGGGGAGGAAAGATCGCCCAGATTTGCACTTTGTCCCGGCATGAGCCTTGTCCAACATGTTTGAATTGAGATCTCTCCGTGCACGCAAAAGAAAAACACAAAAGCGGAGGTGTAAGTCTTGCTGACAGAAGAAAATATAACATCACAGGCTCAAGCCCCGCCGAGAACCAGGATCAGATTTTCCCGTCTTCACGCCCCCGTCCAGGGGAGGGAGAGATACATGAGTGAAAATCTTGCAAAAGTAGAATACTTTGAGCCGGGTCTGGGTGCCAGGGGCGAGGGGGGCGAGGGGGGGGAGCCTGGAGCTTGTTTTGCGGAATGATCAGTCTGGACACACCCAGACGGGGAGCACTTGGCAGAGATTGTGAAACCTGGAGGAGTTTGTTGGCGGGCAGGCAAGATAGAAGTTGACGAACGGATAGACAACCCTTACCCCATCAAGGCTGCTCAGCCAGGTATCTGATGGTGTGGCCACACCCAGCCCCAAGGTCTAGTGGCGGGCTAGATTCAGATGTATTGACCGATTGCGAGGGCCAAAGCGAAGTCTGGAAATCGGGAGGCTCGAAGCAGCGGGGCTTGCCGATGAGAAAACAGGCACGGTGCGACGACGTAAGGGGAACACTCTCTCAAAACGGAATATCAGACGCAAGCCTCCCGCACTGTTGAGCTCAGTTTGTGCGCGGAGGCAGGGGACAAGACAGATCAGGGAGGTAACGTAGTGTCGTAGAGTCCGTACATGATGCTGGGAACTGTGCTTTCGGCCCTAGTAAAGACTATCGCCATGGGGTGTTGTCGTACAGTCATCTCCTCGGAAGAGGAAGGACATCGCCGTGGTGAAGAGACAACTTCTTCGCAACGCGACAACATGTAGTCAGGGTTGCCAGCAAGGTACCTAAGCCGATTCAGCATGCAATTGCATGGTTTAGGCCTCAAGCGTACCTCACACGAAGCCAGAGTGTGGAAAGGTAGTCCGCCCTTGCCCTGCTGGCTGCATGTGTGAGGCAACATGATGTCTCGTCGAGGAAACGTCTTGGCCGGCATGGAGCCAATGCCAGAGAAACCGCTTCTGGAGGTGGCAAGAGCGCCTCACCGACGAGGGAGGGTACCTGCGGCAGGCTGGATCAGCTCGATCTGTAGGGAGACGGGCATTTGTTGGGCTTCTCGTCTATCTTGCGAGGTGCAGAATTATGCTGCAGGGCAACAAGTGCGGTGTGGGTTTGATCTTCACTCGCTGGTGGGCTTGTGGTACACACGCATGTTCATTGGTAATTGCACTTGTCTCTTTCGTCTGCTGTGGCTCTGGAAGGAGCGGTTCGGCAGTGAACTGCGCCCACCACAGCCCTACACTAGTACAGAGGGAAAGTACGACCTGCA